AGGGGATTGGAGAAGAAAAGGTGAAAGTGGGGCTCCTATGTGAAGTTTTGGCTTAGCGTATAGATCATCATTTGGATTGTTAACCAGATTCATGGCTTGGAACGATGTAGACACCCAGCCCAAAATGGATGGAGCTGTTTTAAAAAGCCAGTGAGCTAGGAAATGCTAAGGACCCTTGACATAACCCGCCAAGGCTTGCATTGTACAACTTGCAACTTCTTGCCATCAAGGAGATCAATGCAGGGTCCAGGGTCTACAGGGTATGGTCAACAAAGTCAAGTTGGTGGCCACAGTGGTGCCATCAAAGGTCAGCCATTCTTTAGGTGTGCCGCTTTGATGGCACGGTCATGTGGCCACCAATTTTTTGGACCACACCCTGCGGACACCCTTGGCCTCAAGTGCTGGCTTGCATGAAGATGCCTTGAGGGCTAGGATAGGGCATTTGGGGGGTGTTGACTTGGCCAAGCGGCTATCCCATGCCTTTTCTGTATGCCAAGACGGTTGGTGAGAAGCAGAACTGGGTGACCGACCTGGTGTTTCAAAGCTAAGGAAGGTATCCTACCCTGCAAGCCAGGCTCCCCTTTCTTAGAAGCAATACCGATGTAGGGTTGACCACTGTCTTCTTGGGAGATTCATTTCATTTCATTTCTCTGGCTGGTATCATTCCAAGCCATTGCCATTACTGGAAGAGGGGGCAGCAATGAGTCACCATCCTGGGAAGAATTTTCTTCATGGCTGGCCGATGCCAAGCAAGAGAAATAAATCTCACTCTCTGTCCTCTGAAAAAAACAATTTGCTGCTTAAGCCTGTCCAGGAAAATGAAAGAACAGAAGGCAACGTATGAAGCATTATAGGGATGTGGTGGAAGCCAGGATGGAGGGAAGGACAGGTTTAGTTAATGTGTTTGAGGTAAACCAATTTTAGCTCTGTTTCCTTCTTTCCTTTCCTTTCTGCATTTTGCATCCCAAAAGAGAATAATGGGATGGGTATGTATCTATGTATAGAAGACTTTGACACTCCAAAAAATAGGAGCGCGTGGATGAACCTCATGTTCCAAAGACCTAAATCATACTGTGACTCTTCACTGAACTCTTTACGAAGAAATGTGGGTGGTAAAGAATCATCTGTTGCTAAGAAGTCCCAACTGCGTTGATGCCACAAATGACCATCTTTATATAGACATCAAAGCAGTGCTGTAGGCATCTGTTTAGAAGCACCAAGGGCCTTCAGCCTTGCCAAAACAAACTAGGAAGATGCTGTGACTTAGGAAAGGTCCCTTGCTGGCTACACAGGAGACCCTTTTATCATCTTTCCAGTCGGGGAAGAACCGGTTGCTGTCGTGGGTAGATAGAGCCAGTGCAGAAGTCATGAAGCCTTCCTGCCCACTAGGTCAAGGCTCCAGTCTGAAACTCTAGGAGTGGGCAGCTCTACCTACAGCCAAGGAGAAGCCTTCTTCTACCAGGGCTTCGTTGAATGGCACCAGAAATAGGGAGATGATTTTCCCGGCTCGGGTAGTTGACCTTCAAATAAACCACAGGGACACCAAGACTGGAAACGTCATCTCAGCTTCTTAATTCCCCGGTTGGGTCATCACCATGCCATTAGCTGAGTTGGGCAAATGCCACACACCATCATAATCTACCAGGAGAGTCTCATCTTTCTTTATTTGTCCATGGGAGGTGTTTTTGACCTGACAGGTCTCTTCCTCTTTCCTGAGGTTGCCACCGAACCGGACCTCGTTGTTTTCAGCATCTTTCCTTGATTCCCGGCTTTGACAGTCACTTTTCTTTGTCTTCTCCTCTGATTCATCCTGGCCACAAGGTGTCATGAAGTGTTGAGATTGGCTCAGCACTTGACTGTTGCTGAGTGACATGCCACCTCTTCCACGAGGGCTGAAGAACTGGATCCAAGCGAGTGCAGACACCCTTTTACACCGACCTTCTCAAGGCTGCTCCCGTGTCTGCATTGGCACAGGCTGCTTGGTTCAGTTTAAGGGGTTCAGGCAACAGAAGAGAGCTCTGTTTGCTTTTCTGGAACAGGAGAATACTGGCATCCAAGACCCCAGGAAGAGAAGATATTTTTAGGTGTGTAATATTTTTAAAAACTAAATTGATAGCCCCACCCACCCTGTGCTGATGGGGCACATGGCTTCTTTTAAAGCAGCCTATCCAGGCTCACTCAAAGAGCATTTGTTGGAACCCCCCCTCTGGAAACCCACAGCTCTCTTTGCCAATTTCCCACCTTCGAGACCTTCAATAACCATCCCCAAAAGATGTTTGCTAGGCAGATGAACCAGCTGGAGGTGGCTACAGTTCCATCTCCCGCTGGCTTCCGTGGAGGATGTCGCCATCTCACCCCCAAAATGGGGAGAACGGAGGGCTGCCTCCCTCCGCTCTTGGCTGAATTACAGCCCTCCTGGATTCATCTGACGGTTCACTGCTAAACAGTCCTGCAGAACAAGCCCTACCTAGGGAAAACAGGCCCTTCAGTACGCTGGGGTTGGCCATCCCCATCTGGTGTTATCGTAAGCAGGTTCTACCAGCTGCATCTGTAGCGCTGGGCCTCAAGGCTGCCTTGCAAGATCCTCCCAGTGTTTCTCTTTTGTACACGTTGGTGCCAACCCAGCCAGCGAGACGACGATACAAATGCGTCTTCTGGAGCTGCAGGTTTGTGCAGAGGCTGTAAAATGGGACGGTCCGCGAGGCTCCCTCTGCAAAGCAGCATTCCAGGACAGCAGCAAAATGGCAGAGTCACCTGGCTGGTTTTTGGGTTGTCAAAGAGTCCCAGAACACCCCTGCCCCAGGCTTTGGTGCAGTGCAGTCCCAGAGCTGAGATGTGCTCCCCGATCCCTGCCCTGCTGCCTCTGCAAAGCCTCCTAGCTGGCTTCCTGGGTTTTTAGGAGAAGGCTGAGCGGTTTGCTCCTCCTCGTGGCGTCGTCTGGGTCAACGAGTCAGGAGCAAGAGGCAAGCAGAAGCCACGGGGCTAGGGAAGAACCCCACAGCCTGTTGGGTCTTTTCCCTCTCCTTCTGTCCGGGCATCTCGTTCAGCAGTTTTCTCCCCCCGAATGAGATTCTCTTTCTGCAGTTGAGAATTGGCAACGGGAGGAATGCCGAGAGGCAGGCGTTCTCAAGGACAGGAAAGCTGAGCTGGCGCTGCCGATTAAATCACCTCCCACATCCTGATTCAGACCACGGCCTTGCCTCATCTGTGGCTGTGGGTTCTTACGAGTTCGGGGTTCTGCAAGGCACCCTACGGAAATCTCAGTGGACCCGCAGTTGTTGTTTGAAAACGGTCCCAATTAAACTCTGTATATAGGTGGCCTGGTTACGTTCACGCGCTGTGCTAAGCCTTAGTTTGCTTAACCACAAGATAATGAATAACTCAGATTGGCTGGATTCGGACCAACTCAACATGAAGTCACCATCTTGGGCTGCGTTTGGTATTTCCAAATAGGATGCAGCTAGGTCGCTTTAGGCTCCAGATTCAATGGCCCTGAGGAGTGGGGCAGCCATTTTAGAATCACAGAGTTGGGAGGACCTAAGAGGTCATCAAGTCCAACTTCCTGCACACTGCAGGATCCATTGCACCATCCCCAACAGATGACGATCCAGCCTCTGTTTGAAAACCTCCAGGGAAGGGAAGGAACCACTCCGTGTGGAAACCGATTCCACTGATTGACAGCTCTTACGGTCAAGACGTTCTTCCTAGTCTCTGTATCTACATCCTTGAAGATTCATCCCATTCATTCTTGTCCTAGTCTCTGGAGCAACTGAGAATAAGTCCAAAGCGTCTCCCACATGATAGCCCTTCAGGGATTTGAAGATCACTATCGCGTCCCTTCTCAACCTTCTCTTCTGAAAGCTAACCATCCCTCGTTTTTTCACCATTCCTCATAGGACGTGGTTTCCAGCCCTTTCGCCATCTCAGTAGCCTCTCTCTGGACCGGCTCCAGTTTATCAACGTCCTTTTTAAACTGGTGTACAGTGCTCTGAATGAACACAATACTCCAAGTGAGGCCTGACCGAGGCAGAGTAGAACAGGCTAATTACGTCCAAAATATGTAATGATTAATATTAATCATATTAATTCAATATGCATGCATGATTTTTACAGATGCCATAAGCCAACCCTGCTAAATTGAAGGAGCAAAGTCCTAGGTCCGGTCATGTGAACGGAGCGTGGCCCTACAATGAGTCCATCTTGCCGCGAAGCAAATAATGGCTGGTCAAGTTTGCCCATTTCTCTGATGGCCGTGTGGGCATGGCTCTCCCTAAAGCAAAGGGTGGAAGGGTGGGTTCATTTTATTGTATTGCATTTTTGGGTGCACTGTTTTCTGACGTGGCAAATACATCCCCTTTGCTCCAAAAATCCTTCAAAGGAAACCGAGGTGGCCTCTTTCCAATGTAGCCGGAGGCCTCCATGATGATTGCATCTTGGGTATTCCCCGAGAACCTTGTTGACTCTCCGGGTAGCGAGAGGGAGAGTTGAGAAGCAAAAGAGAAGGTGAGGCATTTTGCCACACGCTTCTCTCCTTCCTGCTCTCCGAAGGGGAACTCCGAAGGGGAGGAAACGCTGCTGGCGGAAGGGAGGAATCGGGAACCCTGGCTGACTTGTTGTGACTAAGTTCAACAAGCTACCTGCCTTCCCTTTTTCCTTTTATGGAGCGGGCTGGAAGAGAGGATCGCAAGAGATCCAGCCTGGACCTGAGCTGCAAGAGGCACCTTCCTGCCCTTGGAAGCTGGGTGGAGCCCTCGCCCCAGTTGGCTTTCCATGGGCCGAGAGGCAGGAACCTGCTGCGGGGCACGTGCATGGCTGCGGAGAGGCTCTGCGAAGCACATTTTGCAGGCATCGGCATCGCCCATTCGCAAAGATGCTGGCAGGGAAACGGGCGTTGCTCTCTTGCAACCAGACCACGTGGCTCCTTAGCCCTGGTTGGGGGCTTTTCTCTGGTCAGGCTTGGCCTCCGGACCCAGAAGGCCAGGATGCTCCTGGGTGAGCTCGGGCAGTTGTTCCCTCGTGGCCCAAGCAACCTTGCAGGGTTGGCGAAAAAGGCCTGGATCGGCGCGCTGCTTTGAGCTGCTGGATAGAAAGCTAACAAACGCTTACATAAATCTATCCAGGGCAGCGGCCATTCCTTGCATTAGTCCACACTGTGTTTATGCGTGTTTAATTGTGTTATCGTTTTTATTGTTCCTGAATCTTGTAAGCCACCCAGAATCTAACAGAGTGGGTGGCTATAACAAATGTAATACATTGAATTAAATTAAATGAGCATTAACTGGAAAAACGAACCGTAGTTTCAAATATTCTTTCGCACGATGATGCGTTTACCGTTATGTTGGTTTCACAGGATACACGGGCTGTATGTAAGCTGATCCCATTTACTTTCCCAGATGGTGTGAACCCAACCCGGGTGGTTAGTTGATGGGTCAGACAGAATGTCAGGTGAATCCAAGAAAGGAGGTTAGTTCCATAGATCCGAGATGGGGGAACACCCTATATGAGAACCTGTCCGACAAGGAGAATCCGACTTGCTTGCGCAGACACACTTCTTTCTCCTGGTACTACAGAGTTGTTTTTCCTCTTCTTTCTTTTCCCACCCTTCCTTCATTCTTCGTGTCTCTCGTCTCGGCAATTTGGGAGACAGTATTGATCTGAAAAGAAGGTAAAAATATGATAAAATAAGAGAACACCTGCTTGGATGTTGGCAGGAGGGAGCGTGGCACCTCATGCCTCGGGACATCACCCCACAAACGACGGGAATGATGAAATTGCATTATTTGGGTCATGACATCACAACACAACTCACACAACTCACATCATTCCCATCGTTTGCATCACGACACACGTGTCATTTTAGCTTCTCCTGGATGCTTGTGAACATACGCGTAAATGCTAAGAAATTTCAACGGCTGCGATGTTCCCATATTTATTTATTTATTTAGCATATCTGTATGGCCGCTCATCTCACAAGGTATATCAGTATAAATATTTTCCAAGTTACAGTTGTACGTGCCTAAAACATGGCGCACGTTACGCCACAGGGCAAAATCTAGGGTTTGTGGCATCTCAATCTTCCTTCATTCTGATTTTTTTTTTAAGTTTCTAGCTCTCATGACGGCAGGCTGCCGAAAGAACTGCAGTTCAGCCACCACCAGCTAAATGCATAGATTACAGGAAAGGTGCAGTTTGAGGTGTTCGATATTAGTGTTGGCTTGCAGAACTCAGAAGCTATATCTGGATCTTACTCGCTGATCTCCACATTGTCTCCTCTATCTTGGGCGTACGTGTGCCAGTTCTCCACAGGCTGCGTTACTCATGAGGCTGTTAATCTCGCTTTTGGCTGTCCTAGGTCAGGATCGTAACCCCCCTCTTATCGAGGGAGGGTCAAACCAAACCAGCTGCCAGCGTCCACCTGACAAACCAACCCCATCCAGCAAAGGCAGTCCTTATTGCTGATCTTCAGCAGAATTTTAGGAAAACCCATTTTAAAGGGGAATATTGCAGGCTGCTATCCCTTCTAAGGTAACCCTCCCCAAACTTCCCCCCCCCCCCCCCATTCCTGCCCTTCATCTATATTTTGTATTTCCACAAATTACCTGTGGGGAAAAACCAGCCACCAACAAAACCAGCTGCATATGATCTTTCTGAATGGGTGCGCTCTGTGGAAAAGCACCGAACACGTTTGTGGATCCTTTTATTAACGCAGGGTTAATAACCAACCAAATAAGGAATTGAGAGTGATGTCTCCTTGCTCCTTCGAGTGAAATTGGGATTCGCCCATTGTCTTCTTCTATCAGCCTGGTATAAAACAATGGGGAATGATGTAAACTGATGCATTGAGTCACTGAACATCAGTGAAGATTGATAAGAGACTATTAACCATCCCGTGTGTGCTCCCCCCCCCCCCACAAAATTCTTGAAAACAAACACAAGGGGAAACAAGGGGTTGGGTTCCAAAGCTGCAACACTTTCCCAAAAAAAGAAGCGGGGTTTTTTCCCC